CAAGGGGAAGTTTAATCTTAAGCCTCATCAAATGCCCAACCGCTTTACTACATACAAGGCGCGCTACCTACGTACGAAAGAGTATGAGGACTCAACTGGTGCAATGCCCGGCTGCGTCCAGGTCGCGAAAGAGCTCGCGTCGCGCCGAGTTGTAAGGCCTCGAGAAAGGGGGGTCTGCGACGAAAAAATGATTTGATGGGATTTCCAAATGCACCTGCGTCGACGCAGGTGCATTTGGAAAATCGAAATCGGACGCGGTCCAGGTCAAATCAGAGGACCAAATCAGAGTGGTACACTCGACCAAATCAAAATCATTTCGCAGGGACGGCCGCGACCAAATAAGCCGCTGACTTGCTAATTTTGAAACCCCCTAATGGTGTCATAAGATACGACGTGTTCAGAGGCCTTTTTTCGGGAATCAGGGGGTTAAGAATTGACTTCCCTATCCGAGTGTTTGAGTTATTTTCTTAGCGAAACGCGTTACATCCAGCAAGACGTACATCGAGTAGTGTAATATGCAAAATCCTCAACTTGTTCTCTTCTCGTAGTCTCCTTCGTCTGATAGTTAGCACTTGCGCTTGTCACCGCTGATTGAAAACTGAACTCCTACTCATGCAAAGATGACTTCATCTCCACTACCAGGCATTCATCCTACTTCAACAGCTGTCTGATGCTCCGCAGTTTATCATAAGATCATCGGGTTTTAACCCCAGCTTGCGATACCGTCTTCGTTGCGCAACGGCTGCAACCGGAGCCGATCCCTAACAATTGCAGCAGCTAGTAGATTCTGTATAAATTGCGGTAGGAGGGAAGTCCTGACAAGAGAAAGATAGATGTGAATCATTGAGGTAGGTTGTTGATAGAACTGTTCTCCGGTCTAACTGCGGGAATAGCAACCTTCATGGCAACCCGCGATTTTTAAACAAACTAAACAGATGCGGCTACCTCCGATACTTCCGTATCAATAGTCATCAACATGTATAAGTGAGCTGTACGCGTTGATACACCTTTAAACGGGAAGTGCAGATCGACAGAATGACAACGAGCACAAAGCCCTCTTTGCAGTGTTATGCAAGCATGTAGATCTGAGAACAGATTTGCAGAATTTACGCTAGCAAGACTAGTTGCACAGCGGATTGGTAGCTCGTAGGTAGCCGTCTTACGATTCTACGCCATTTTTGTGGTGTCTTGACTACAAACAAATCAACAGTCGAGGCAGACTTAACCGCTTACGGGTGGGAGAAGAAAAATAGCGGAAGCCGTTGCCAGAATTAAACATCTAAGCAGCTCGACACTACGATGGTCCTGTGCAAATATACTCCCCCTCCTGTGCGACACTATGTGCCTTTCAACCCTAAATAAACTTTATATAGGGAAACTAGGAAATCCCCTAGATAAGAGGCCTGGTAAATGCCGGTATAAATCTTTGACAACTCAATCAGTCTGATTTTTGTTTGTTTGAGTTGTACTGCCAAAGAGCTGCCAGAGCAGATTCTAGATTCGCCGGCAACGGAGCTCCAAGCCTGCAAAACTTAGGCGAATGGATTTTCGCTAATTAATTTCAGAGCTGCTTCGGGCGAAACACGACTTTGTAATTAATATTATGTATTAATCGAAGGTATTTTGTTCGAGTGAGTTCTATCGATGAGTGTTTATTTTATCGGGCACGACTTTGTTATTTGTTTGATTCCCCCATATTTGGTGACGTTTTTTGTGTGGGTAAATCTGGACGCGAGCGTTGTCGATTAATTTAGCGTAAATAATGGTGTGATAACAGCAAACTCGTCACAAGAACCTAGTTAATAAGGAATTGGCGGACGTCGCCAAACATAGTTTCGTGAAGCCACCGTAAAGTTTTCTGTAGTAAGTATTTACATTTACTCACGTATTGCTTCTATACAGTTCCATAAGACTTAGGGACGCTGTTTGAAATTGCACCCAGCATTTCGTACTTTTCCTCGTCAAGAAGAGCTTGGAGAAATCGATAAAACTCATCAGTTGCGGACGGGGACGTGTTGAAGAGAACGGGACACTGACGAATGCACACTTCACCTACCGTTCCAGACCCGTCTGGTAGCTGCCGAAGCCAACTCCATCCTGTTTGGTTCGAATGCATTCCTCGAAATATTCCCTCCCCCTCTGTGTACGTTTTCCAAATACCCACAACGCGATCTTGCTCAATAAACCGACGAGCAACACGTCGCTCCACTACGGAAACAGTGCTGCCGGATGCCAACGTTCGAATCACGCGGTACTTCAGGGCTACCGTGTTTTCAGAATCTCCAATTCCATTGTAATCGCCGCGATCGCACTGGTGCTGTTTGAACTGGAAAGCTTCCCAGCAGCTCTGTTGGCTTGTCTCCAGATCGAAAGGAAGAGCAAACTTCTGCAGATTCTGATGGTACTTCAATTCACCGCTCTCATCACACCAATTCATTGAATTTGTCACCCCCAAAGGCATTGTGGGCAGACCGCATCCTGTCAGCAGGTCGTCGATTTTGGCAAGGCATGGTCCAATCTTTAGCAATAACGATGAAAGCATAGACATGTCGGCCGCTTCAAGTCGATGCTCTGCCGTATTGATCACGGACCTCGGCACGGTGTTCTCGAGTGTAGCAGCATATCGATGTTGCCGAAGCAATCCGCGCAGATTGTCAATGTATATCTCTTGAGTTTTTGCGGTCGTGGTGAGTCTTCTCTTCTCAGTCTCTGATCTGTGTCGTTCCTTTCGCTGCACAAGAGCTAATTCTTTCCAAATCGACCAGTGTTGACTAGGATTACGCTTCGCTTCTTTCGCAAGCTTCAGTTTCTTCAGCTGATCGTCCAATTCACCATGCGCTCGTCGCAGTTTGTCGAGTTCATCTTTAATGCGTTGGCGTTGCTTCCGTCGGCGAAGTTTTTCTTTTTCACGGTGCATGTTCAACGCAATGACGGCGAGATCGCGCTCGTCGGCAGTGGTGTTGCTAGGTGGAGGATTTGTGGGGGATGAACTATTGGATGCTTCATCGCTGGGGTCTAGAATCGTTAGCATGTCAGCGGCTGCACTTGATTCGCTTTCTTCGATACTGTTGAACAGGGGACTGGAGGGTGGGAAGCAGTTATCGAAGAAGTCTGCTGCCTCCTCAAAGAAGGCTGAGCTGGGAAGTATGTCAGTACTTGACAGCATTTCAAGAGGCTGTATGGCTTGTGGTCACGTGAGCACTTCGATAATGATGGCCTCATACTGCCGTCAGACTGACATAGCCAGCGTGGAAGAGATAAATCCCCAGTCATACTTCATCAGGTGCCAGAGCACTTAGTCACATGGTCTGTAATTAACTATACTTAACTAATAGAAGACGTGAGCACAGCTTATTTTGATTTCCCAGCTGGAATAGGCTTGTTCTGACGTTTACGTCCAACCCTTTTTTTGAATGGCTGGCCTCGTCTGGGTGAGGTCTTGGATAAATCGCATACTTGTTGAACGAAAGCAAATTGGTATTGTATTGTATAGTATAGTACAGTACTGTACGTGCCTTCATTAGGCACGTTACCGTTCGCATTTTACTACGCTCCTACGCTTTCCACTCAAGTGAACTTTGCAATATGCGTGACTAATATGATGATGCCTGAAGCTGGGCATCTGATGGGCAATGTTTAGTTCCATCCGTAAGCAGGCAGGGGAGAGGGACGGCAGACATCCCACCCAGGTAGGCGGGGATATCTTGCAGACCTGGCAATCATACATCAGTCCACAAAGCAAAGGCAATACACTGTAGTGAAGATTCAGGAGTCACGTAGCATTCACTCTAATGAACCTGATGTGTTCCAACGTGCACGTGTCAATATGTTACAGGTATCCCTCGAATCACATATCAGCAAGGGACAACAACCAAACACAAACCTAGAGTAATGGGCCAGTTGAGTCCTATCGTGTTTCAATAATAGCGTCGGGCTACACATAAAACTCTACTTCAATTCCAGCTAGGTAACATGCAAGCTACACTACACAGTTGTTTAAGCAAGATAATTTTCAAGAATTTAAAGATGTAATAACTCCTTAGCTTTGATATCTGGATCCAACCACCATTGATTCAATTCACATGAAACCACACGTTGTCCCAATGGAACTCTGGGTCTATTATCTCATTTAAATTATCATTCAGATCTCGATCCGCATCTGGTCTTCAGAGCGAACGTTGCGTGGCTTCTCTGTCTTCTCTGCAGCAGTTTGTAAAGTATTTCACTTTGACTACCATGTCCACGAGATATCCCACCCACCTGGGCGCGGTTCTGGCCTCGCTTGTACATGCACGTGGTTGTGTGAGCAGGTATACCTAGTTCAGGGTGATGCCATCTATAGTATATCTATTATCTCATCTACACCAAATACGAATGTACATGTGCATATTGTTCTGCTTACATGCATCAGAAGAAAAAAAAACACACACACAACCACAGAAATGTTTTTTCAAATAATCTGCGGGATTTCGATTGCACTTGACGTCTCTTATTGCACGAGCTGCCGACTTGTGTCTGGGGTTCTAGCTCGACAAAGTACACATTCGTCTGTTTGCTCCGCTTAGCAGCTTGGCAAGATTATATTTGTCAGGCTACGAAGGAGTCATAAACAATGAGTCATCGATACAATGCACATCCACTGATGTTAAAACGAAAAATACTGATTTTATCCTTGCTAAAACGTTTCAGCTATTAAAACCATAAAAAACGTGAGAAAACTCGGAAATTGGAAGTAGCAGTGCACGTCCGGACCTCTTCTCTATGTCTTCAATGGAGGAGTTCGAGCGCGCGCAGGCCCAAGCCATGGAGCTGCTAATCCAACAGTGTGTTACTGCTCAAGACGGCTCTCTTTCGATGCCTTCAGCGGCCGCGGATGCACGCGAGAACGCTGTAGCCAACGCGACGATCCTGGACCTGCTGGCTCAGACGTGCGCGGACGCCAACGCAGCAGTACAGGAGCTGAGCGTGGAGGAAGTTGCCGCCGGATTGGCCAACGCCGTGTCCGCTACGCAGGAGAGTCTCCGCAGTGTAGGGCAGAACGTGGGCGCGATTTTGCAGGACCCCGAGCAGATGCGCGAGCTGTGCTACCACGTCAAGCAGGCGGACGCCAAGGTGTTGGAGGCGCTACAGACGTCGCAGGTACTGTTGGAGGACCAGAGTGATGGTAGCAAGGGTGATGGTGCATTGGTATCCGACAAGGATATGGGATCAACGGCGCTTATGGTCCCAACCGACGAAGAGAACGTGCACAACATGATGGTGTTCGCTGAGAACATGTGCACGACGATGGATCACGCCCTGAGTACAATTACTAAGGACGAGCTGACACTAGCGGCGCAGTTATCGCTCAATATTGCACAGAAGCTGCTGGATGCAGGGCAGTCGCTGTTCACGTCGCTGGGTGAAGAAGAACGCCGAAAAGTGTGCGCTGGAGACCGTGGTGATCGTATTACGATTGAGGAGATCGATGATGAACTGGATGCAAATAAAGACAATGAATTGGGAATGAAAGGAAGAGATGAACCAAAGAATAGCGGGCAAGTGAAACGAGCTGCTGTGCTTCGGACGTACGTGACGGACCTGTATAACCGTACCCGTGAAGAAGCAGTGGAGCACCCTTTCCTCGCAGGAGCGCTTACTGCCGCAGGATTGCCGTTTATTGGACTGGCGGTGCGTCTTGCACGCCTTAGCTGTAAATTTGTTACTGGAAGAGCTTATACGATTTGTGCACTAGATCCCTGTTGCTAGCATGGTCGCACTGGCGCTTATGATAGAAAAGCACTACCCGGAGCACGCGAAGCTGACGCTGGAGCTCTGTTCCAACTTCGTCCAGGTGAAGTTGGTCTTTGTGTATTCACTAACATCCTCGTGCTGATCGTGAATTGTGATGGCTGTGTACCTAGATGTCCAAATTATGGTTCCTCTTGTTGAAGATTAGTGCCCGACAGGTCAGCGTTGTGGCAATGGAGTGCTTCCAGTCGTGGTACGAGTACGCGTCCACGAATGGCTTCATGGCTACGGGCTTTGAGCTAGCGTCAACAGGATGCAGTATTGGTTTCCTCGGTGTCTCCTACCTGTATCAGATGGCACTTGGCTTCACCAAGCAAGTTCTGCAGTAACGAATATGTGCGAGCCTCCTATCTAGCCTCAAAAGTTCATGCTTTGCCAGTTTTAGTTAGTCCACACGGATAATCTTTTTGAGCAACAAGTTTTCCCGTTATTTTTATAAACTTCCTGCCTGGTAGCACATTGCTGACGACCGTCATGGGCTTGAAGCAAAGCGCGTTAAAGAAAGAAATCGCTGCCCTTCAACAAGAGGCTCGGAAGCGGTCGGCAAAGCACCAAGAAGAGCTCGCGACCGCTGCAAAGGAGAAACGTCAGCTACAAGCGAAGATCGATGAGCTTCAAGAGCTTGTAAGTCAACACAGAGCTTTATACATGTATCTTAAAGACGAATACAATCTCATCAACAACCTTTTGTACATGTAGATTGCGCAGGCTAAAGAGGAAGCAGAGCAGGCAAAGAATGAAGCTCGTGAACAGGAGGAGCGTATGAAGGCGCTTAAGTGGGAACTAGTTCGACAGCTCAGGCTGACCGGATCACCCACTACCAGTCCACGTGCACCTCTGTCTCCGTCGTCCTCGACGCGCATCGATCTGAATTGGAGGCTGAACGACGACTTGTCATTGCGGCAATCTGTCGGGCCACCAAAGAAGGCACCAAACGAGGTGCCAGCATCCACTGACACAACAACCAGTAGCAATACTCCTATAGCAACTACGCTGGCTCCACTTCGGTCCCTACTGAAAAGGTCAGAACCAACAAGTTCTGCTCCTAGCGCGAATCAAACGCCCGATGTCGATACCAAGGAAACCCGCAAACCAGCAACACCCAAACCCGCACCAGCATCTGCCGAAGAAAAGACCAGCAATGAAGATGTTTTTCCATCGGAGTTGAAACAAGATGATAACGTCAACGACAGATCACCACGGGAATTCAAAACCGAGAGTAGCTGTGATGACTCACCACCCAAATCCAACGGCGTCAAAGCCGAAGACGACGAAGACGACGAAGACGATGACGCACTTCCTTCCGAATCTCATGTTCACAATGCCGAGAGCAAAGACAACGACGATAACCCAGAGGCTGGTGATACCCGCAGCTACTCCGAAGACTACAAATAATTGCACACTGAAAACACGTGATGTCCGCCACACCATTTTCGTGAAATCTGCTGAAATGAGTAAAAACAGCGTTTTCTTCATTCCATCTGGCGTTACAGTTGGCTATAACATATTTTGCCCAATCAAGAGACTAGGAAAAAGTTCATCCTTTCGGCGTTGATTCACAAAGTTCGCGAGCCAAAAGCGAAAGCCAAGCGATCATCGGCGGCCGTTGCGTCCCCCACGTCTATTGTCCCTCCTTAAACTACCGCGATGGAAGGCCGCGAGCGTCTGCAGATCGACACGGAAGTGCCATCCAATGTGTATGCGTTGGATCTGCACAAGCTCAGTGCACTGGCACATATCCCCGAGTCAGAGCTGGTACGAGGCATGCAGTCTGAGGACGCCGTGGACATGCAAGGCGTCGTGGTGAACCGTGGTCAGGAAGTGCCATTCGAGGCTGTAGGCAAGACACCAGAGGACGACGACGACGCTGACAGTCCGTACCACCACGGTAGTCCGTCGCCCGTGGGTGGCACTGACACAAGCGTCAAACAGGTGCTTCTCACTGCCGCCTCCAGCACCATGTGCCTGGACGGCTCAGACACGCCCAAGTGCCTTATTATGCTCGGAGAGTACACACTCATTGAGCACATATTGGCGCAGCTATTCGTCGCGGGGATGGAGAGAGTCGTGATCATCATCTCGTACTTTGGCCACGAGATCATGGAGCACGTCAAGGAGAGTTTCCTATACTCGAAACTGCAGATCGAATTCTTAAATCTAGGAGAGGAGACACCTTACGGACATGCACGCACGTTACTGTCCGCCAGAGAGATGTTCACCAAACCATTCTTGATCCACACTGCAGACCATATCTTCGACAGAGCCATTATCAGTCGCATGGCCCATTTTGAACTGGACGGGTGTGTTGCTTGTGTACTTGTGGATGCTGATAAGGAGAAGCTCAAGGGCTTACCGTCTACAGCGGGAAAAGTGCTGCTAGACTCAACGAATGGGGCGATTCGAAAGATTGGACGTGGACTGAAGCAATTTGACGCTATCGATGCTGGTTTGTTCTTAACGACGGGACGGTTGTTTGCTGCACTGGAGATGCTGGCGTATGAGAAGCCCAAGTTTTCGCTAGCAGAGGCTCTGAATGTGTTGCGTCCGAGTTATGGATTGAAGTATTTAGAGACGGACGGTGATGCGTGGCTTAGTGTAGAGACGCAGGCCCAGCTGGATGCTATTCTAGCAAATGATAGCATCGCGTCCCTCTCACCTTGGCCAGTGTTTGTTGCGAAGGAGCCAGAAGAGAAAACTCCATCAAGACCAACCACTCCTGGTGGCAAGAATGTGTTCCTGGCTGTGTCAGCTGCTGACGATGACTCAATGTTGCGTGCTGTTGATGCGCATGTTCGTCAGTCTCAAGATGTATTTGAAGGGTTTGTCGTCGGTGTGAACCAGCTGCAAGAAGTGGACGATGTTGCTACCTCTGCTCCTACCGGGGCAGCTGTCCAAGCTCATGAGACTACGCCACTGCTTGGTGGCTCTCCTTCGCGTCATGATCGTCAGGGACCGCATGTCCCTTTGGCTATTCGACGTAAGAGGAGTTCGTTTTTAGAACAGGCTGAAGACTCATTCGTGCTTTCCATTCCTTTCGAGCAACCGCCTAACGTCACGGTTGATATCGGTGCCTCGCACGAGCATGGAGTGTCGTCGGTCATGGAGAGAAATGCGTATCTAATCGAGCTTCCACAGGTCACGACAACTGGAGGTGGCTCGGGCGCTGTGCAGGAGACCTCACAGCAATTTGTGCTTGCTGTGCCCGACAGTGATACGCTATACAAGCGTCCTGGCTTGTTGCGTCGTTTGTCGTCACTACCGACTGATGTTAAGGATATTGCTGTGGAAACAGTGGAGCTCCGCAATGGAACAATGGAATTGCAGTTGCTTGTCAAGCGCCAGGTGCCTTTCATCGGCTACGTGCTGCTATTAGCTGCGCTATTCACAATCTCGTCCATGGGCGCAGCGTTGGATCTGCAACGCAACGTGGACCCGTTCATGAAGCTGTTCTGGCGCACGACAGCGTCGTTAATAGTGTTCATCCCTCTTGCTGGTGCCGCGCTGTATGACCAGGGGCTACCGCAGTTTTCGACGCGGAATATGATCCTCTTCCTGACGTGTTCACTGTCCTACGCGGTCTTCCTCATGACGTTCCTGTGGGCGCTATCGCACACTTCTATTGACCACGCTTACATATTTAACAACTGCCACTCGCTTCTCATGGTGGTTGGCCGTTTGCTGCTTGGACGGTATGTCTCGCAGTTTGAGGGATTGGGGACAGCCATCGGTGTGATTGGTGGGGCTCTCACAACGCTGGATCATCCACAGGCGTCATCATCAGGAGCTGAAGTGGTGCAGGTTTCGTTGGCTGGAGATCTCGTCGCACTTGTTGGTGCAGTTGGAGGTGCTCTGTACCTCATCACAGCCAAGAAACTGCGTACAGAGATGGACATCAGCATCCTGTTCGTTGGTATGTTCACGTTGCTAGCTCTGCTGATCTTCCCCGTGTTCTCGCTGCTGGAGATTCCGTTTGAAGCTTCTAGGGATCCTGATCTGGGTCTATTTGGCTGGTTGGACCCGTCTCGTGCGGCTTCAGAAGCGTACATTGTTCTCGTCTGTACACTCATCGGTACGCTGGGCTACATCGCCGTGATGAAGTATTTCGCCCCCATTGTCGTCTCGGTTGTGATGCTCGTGGAGCCTGTGCTGGCTGCGTTCATGGGTGTAGCAGTGGGTGTTGATGTCTTCCCTGGCTTACTTACTATTGTAGGCTCGCTGCTGATCATCGCGGGTACAGCTTTGGTGATCGTGTCCAACTCGTCCAAGACCCAAACGATCGACGCCACGGCGGCCATGTCATCTACGTCGACGGCCTTACCTCGCGGTCTCAGCTCCGCCACTGCCGCTGGTCTTAAGTTGCCGCAGACAACTACGCCCTCGACAAACCTGAGATACGTCTAGGCAGAATCACTAGTCCATAAGTGTCCTCGAGGACCAAAAATCGAATTAACGTTGCACATGTTGAAGTTTGCTTTTCTGCAACTTAACTGAACTGAAGTTGCTTCAAATGCACAAAGGAGCAAGTCACTTGCTTACAGTGAGAGCTTAACAACTTAAGTTGTGTTAAAGGCTTACGTTGCGCCCTGTCACCATTGCGAAATCTGAAAGACCATGGAGGTCGTCGCGCTTAATGAGCGCCTCCGCAGTGACTTCTCGACGCTGTTAAAGCAGCTTCCACCACCGTACGCCGTATCTGCCTTCTATGGTACGAAGAACTTTGCTTCTTCTACCAGATCTGCGACCCCCGCGCTCATGAACGACCGCTACACGCAGCACTGCCGCCTCATGTTGTGGCGTCTCAATTCATACCAGTACGGGACTACTAGCGCGTTTCTGCTAGATCTGGAACAGCTGGAACGCGTAGCTGAGTCTCCGGAGCTTAAGCAGCAGGTGCAACGTGTCTTAGATCGTCTTGCAAGTTCTGATAATGAAGAACACGGCGTGGACGTCTCCAATAGGACCGGAGCGACGGTTTCTTTATGCTCGAGCTACGGCGCCCCTGGGCTACAGGAAGTTACGCCCATTCGGTCAGAAGAAGATGATACAGTGAACAACACAACGTGGCTCTGTAATGTTTCGCTTAGGGATCAGGTCGTGACTATCGGGACTTTCAAGAGTCAAGAAGAGGCGCTGAAGGGATATAAGAAGCAGAGGAAGAAGATGGCCGAGAACGCTGCCAGCTTTAACAAGTTGAAACAGCTAGGAGCTAAACTAGAAGTGGAACAGCGTGAAGAGGATAAACGGGTACTGAAGGAGGCAATGGCTCAGTGCCATCCGAGACTGATGACCATGAAGGTGTCGGCGGTAGTCCCTGCACCCCCTGGGAGCAGCACGACAATACCTGCCAAAGGAATCCCACGCTCCGTGGTGAAGAGTATTGCAGCGGCTTCGTCCTCGCCTGCGACGAGTCCAGCGCCGTCAGAGTCTGGATTGTCGCCCCCACGAGCATCAAGATCGTCTAAGCGACAAAGAGCGGATTCCAATTCGAGTGCTTCGGCCCAGAAGAAGCAGAGACTGGAGGCGAATAACTCTGCTACTAGCCGTTCGTATCTGAAGCTGCGGAGACTTATCCAGAAGCGACTGTGTCGACACTTGAAAGGCCAGAAAGTTTGCGTGCTGCCAAACCCTGATAAGATCGACGAGGCGCGATGGGTTGCTTCAGGACGTCTAGAAGCTGGCAAGGTGTTCTCTTTCGACAAGAAAAAGCAAATGACCTTCGCAGACTACGTTCGAGACGAGCTGGGTCGTCCTGTATCAGCATGTGCTCACATGTTCCTTGTTCGAACCAAGGAAAGTATCGATGATCACTTGAAAGTGTGCGACGCGTTCTCAGACAAGGAACGCGAGCTCGGTCCACCCACTCAGCTGGAACCAGTGAAAAGCAAAAAGACATCGCGCAGACGCTAAGCTGAGTGCTGAGAGCTGGTGGGTATACATCCTCCGTCTAATATGAATCTCTTGCGCTTTCTACTACATTCTTTTTTTTTCTTCACACCAACTCGCGCTAACGAAGCTATGCTACGCTATCTACCATTTCCGCTTCAAGAGAAGCGCTCGCCTGTAACAGGACAAAGCTGGAGGTTGCTATTGGTGCAGTTGTAATGCACAACCTTCCCGTTCGGGTAAACAGCGAACACGATGTCGCCGATACGCTTGTGGCACACAGGACAGAGAGTGTTGGGGTCGACCTGCACACTTTGAGACAAGCGCTCCACGCGGTCGCATTGGACTTGGAGGTTGTAGACGTTCGACAGCGACTTCGTGATGCTCATCTCTCGCACGTTGTGGGCGCTGTGTGGCAAGGCCTGCGCGAAGAACTCTCCTAGTTTGGACAGCGGGGTGCTTGGTGGCACCATATCCAGCACTACGGCGCTGTCGAGGCTCTTGCCGTGACGTGCAAGTAGCTGGAAACCGAAGTCGTTGAACGCTGCCTTTTTGGATTCGTCACGAGGCGAGAAGCAGATCTTCAGCAGTTCCATCAACGCATCGTTACGCTCCATGGTGGCTCCAGCTCCAGTCTTCTTGTTAGTTCCTATCGACGATCCAACCGATGGCGCACGCGCTCCGTACTTGACTGAGTAGCTCTCTGCTCCTCGCAGATCGTTCAACTCGTAGACCAGCGAGGTGACAGCCTCTTCGTGCAGTGCTCCACGGCCACAGAGAATCACGAACTCGTTGTATAGCGGCTTGCCCTTGATCTTTTCGACTAGCGGCACCACGTCGTAGCGTGAAGAACCTGACTTGAGGAATTTCAGTAGTCGCTTGCGGGCCTCACCTAACTGTCCAGGCTCCTTGCCCGGTTGAGATTTCGACGGCGTCTCTCCCTTGGCTACAAGTCGCAGTGTTTCATCCAGATATTCCAGAGCCAAACGGGTGTGATGAGGGTCCACCACAATTGACGCCGCACCACCGTCCGGGCCACGCGTGGGCTCATCATCGTCGTCATTGTCGCCAGCCAAGAAGTGACTGTAGCTGTCATTAACTCCCAGCTCTGCTGCAGCAGGGTCAGCAAAGGCATTGAAGCCTCTACTACTGCCTTCGATATTGACTCCACTGTCACTTCCTGTTGTCGTTGCTGCACCTGGCGTTGCTCCCGCTTCACCATTCGCCTTGACGAGAGTTTCCAGGTACCTTTGGACGATAGCGGGGTCGTTCGAATGCTCCCTCAAGTGAGCAACTACATCATTCGATGGCAATGGTGGTCGGCGCTCTGTGAAGATACGCAGAGCCTGCTTGGCAGACGTCGCCTTGATAATCCAAATCGACTGCTTCAAGATGAACTCGCTCTCTGACTCGGGCACAGATATAAGCACATCGATGGCTGCTTCGATCGGAGACTTGGGCATGCTACTTGATCCACTGCGCTGTTTGTACTCGCCGTGATGCAGCAAAGAGAATATTTCCAAAGCTTCGTCGTAGTTTTGATGAGCACAGAGCAACTGAGCTGCTTCGTAGTACAACTTGTGTTTCATTAGCAGTGAACGGCAAGAGTCCAGCTCAAGCGCGCAGCCTCCGAGAGATCCCGGTGGGCCCTCGACATCAGGATTTGGCTCTTGAATGAGAACAAGCAGCTCCTTGTACCGCTTAAAGTGAACGTAGAGTCGGAAGAGCGCCGTATCGATCGCTTCAACGCGACGTGCGTCCTTGGGACTGGCATTTGATCCGGTACGACCACGAGCTGAAGACATGGTGCGCACACGAGCGCGAGCCTTGTCTCGCATGTGCTTCTTGTATTGATTGAGGAACTTGAGCAGCGCTTTTTGCGCTGCATTAATGAGGTCAGCAGCGTCACTCTTGGCAATGTCGCTGCTTAGAGGAGCACGCGGAGACGAGAGTAGCTCCTGCACAACTGAGGAAATATCTGGAGCAGAGCTGTTACCACGCGGGAGCACCTCGGGCTTCAGTACTGAAGGTTCATATGCGAACGAGGAGCACTGGAGGTCCGGGAAGAAGGCAATAAACTCACACGGCTCGATAGCAGCGCGGTACATGTAGTCAGCAACTTGGTCGAACTCCAGTCGGCGTAGAAGCGCCACTGTGGCCTGACGTTGAAAGCGTTTAATCTTACTGCGTTGCTTGTCACTTGATAGCGATGAAATGGACTTCCGGACCAAATTTTGTGCCTCATCAATTTGTCCGCGATCCAAAAGTTCTCCAACCTGTTGATCTAACGGCATCGGCTCGACCTTCATGACACTGGACGTGCCATTCGACTCTCTCACACCGACAACGACGACGTCCTCGCTATCTCCACTTTGTCTGGGTTCCATATCCCACTTCATACCGTTACCAAACATACACACGGCTCGTGTGAGGGGAATAGTCTGCACGAGCGCTCCATCACTGGCTCGATGGATCTCGACACCCACTCTTGGCACCAATGCCAACAAGTACGGCGACGAGAACTCCACTTGCTGAGGACTCTGCGACCAGGTCACTGAATTCTTGGGCAGCGTATCTCCCGTAAAGCCCACGAAAACTCCCACCCGATCCATAACAGCAACCAAAATTTCCTCTTTCGGTAGCAACTTCACCACGGGGAACACGGTGGGGTCCTGGATACCTGGAGAGTTGATCTGTGTGGCGTCTCCAGACTTGTCGTTGAGTAGATAATAGTCCTTCCTGAAGCCAACTACGACTTTGTTCCTGTACCAGCTCATGGCTTCAGGTACATCTTGGGTGCTGAACTCTCTTAAGAAGGCGTAACTCTTGTCACTGCTGTGGTACTGGTATATGGCAATGGCCTTCCTCTTAAGCATAGCCACACCCAGACGGAAGTGCGGTGGCCCGCGCTGGTTGACGCATACGAGTCGTACTTTGTGGGTGTTGGCTTTGGAGAAGTCAAAGTCGAGCGGCTTGAGATCCGTAGCGCCGTGGGCCGATATTTCTCCATTGGAGACAACGATAAGCATACGGATGTGAGGCACAGCGAGTAGCTGCTCCACACGCTGGCCGTGTGAGAACGTGTACGAGGCCGTGGATGTGGACGTGCCTTTGCGTGTATCATACATGACGAGGCGGCCATCTTTGGAGCCCACGACCACGCGCGAAGAGTAGTGTGATACGCACTCCACTTTGCCCTCGAAGCCGGTGACCACGGCAGTGGAGCGGAAGGCCACACGCTGCTCCCCGGAGGACGAGGACATGGAGGCACTCTGATACGTAGCGACGGATTTCTCCCCGATAGATGAAGTGAGGGGTAGATGTGGTGCACACTAAGTAACTCGAATAGAAATTGTTATCCGGACTGATGAAACAAGGAAACTGTTTCATCATTCCGGATAACAATTTCTTTTTTTACAATGCATTTAATTTTTTTTGGAAAAAAATAATCCGGATAATAGTCCAGTGTGTATACAATGGCTTCTGCATTCTGATTGGCCGGGTGGCATTCAGACGAAAAAAACTCATTAATATTGAAATGGTTTTTTTTGTCTGAATGCCATCCCAGCCAATCAGCATGCGTACCGATGAGATTTTGGTACTAAGTTGAATGCCAACCAAGCCTAAATTATTATGACCCAAAATTTGACTTTTTTGAGTTGGTTCCGAATAACCCAAATAAACCGTACCGTTGGATGGCATTCTGACGAAAAAAAACCATTAAAGTGTTAATGGGTTTCTTTCACCTGAATGCCATCCCGGCCAAGTGTTAAGCACTCATAGCTCCTGCTTTACTTCGACACGTTTTTGCGTCCACAAGACACCAGGGCCTCCGAAATATACATTTACTATAACATTATTTACCACAATTCTTAGTAAATTATTTATTTCAAAGATCTATACCTGACCATGTGATAATTGATTTTCTGTATAGGTATGATTTCATAATTTATTAAAGGTTCTCTTATACAATAATTTTCACAGCAACCAGTCGTTTTTGGACCACCGATCGACTCCAACCTTCTCTGGGTCTTCTCAACTGTCAGCTATTTCGCATTTTTGTCAATACACCTCACCTGCTTCCAGCCACTCTTGTAACTACCATGGTTCTTATCACACGACCCGGCAGCGCCTACACCAACGCCCAGATCTCGGGGTTCTACTTCCGACCGTGTTGTGACGAATATGACGAGGTGATCCTCGAATACTTTCGCTGAAGATCTTTCGTTTGTCGAACGTCTTCGTAAGCGCCGCCGGATTGCCGGACCCGCTGTTTCCTACGAGCAATTGAAGACGATTCCACCAACGTCTAACGTGGTGGAACGCTTTTTTAGTGTGGCGCGGGTGACATTTGGTCACCAAAGACAAGGGTTGCAACCTGCAACGCTGGATATGATCTTATTCCTCCGTGAGAACCGTGGTTATTGGGATTCTAGCACGGTCAACAGCATTAACTGATACCGTACATGTACATGTTTCTCAATGGAGAACTAAGGTAACACATTTAGTGGTCTCCATTACTCCGTTATTTATTTGCCGTCTTCGTTTAATGACATAATTTATTTGATAGAGTATAGAAGAGATAACGCATAATGTATGTTGTCTTCCTTTGTCTACTAAATAAAAATGCCATATTCGGAGGCCCTGCAAGACACGCCGTTGTACGACACGATGTCCTGCTTCGCTTGGAGTAGCGATGAAGAAGCCATGGTCGCTGCCAGCGGTTCCACCAGCGCAGCGCCGTTGCCGACACTTACGTGCACCACAGAGAGTGTCAAGATTCTCGTGACACTGTTAAGTTGCCTAGCGCATGGTAAGCGCGACTAACGTGTACGCTGCGACGTAGACCGACGGGGTCTGCTCTTCACTGCGCACTCCAAGCGCAAGTCCCTGCAGATCAAGACGTCAATCGGATGAGAGCTCTTCGAGAGCTACAAGTTTGGTGCGACAGGACCCGAATCAACAGAAGAGTACGAAGACGAGGATGACGAGGACGCTGTACAGCTGAGCTTTGCACTTAACGTCAATCTCCTGATCGAATGCTTATCCATGTTTGGACCCTCTGCTTTAGCCACCACGTCACTTTGGATGACGTACGAACCAGAGGTAAAGTGATGGTAGAATGTACTAGTTGAAGTAATATTGACGGTTATTGTGTTAAAGTTTTAATGGTTTTTTTTTCTTGAAGACACACTATAATACAAATGGCGGAGAACAAAGAGCAATCCGTTGCCGTACGCGCGCTAGGATCGCAGCATGAAACTACTGAGAGAAGGCGTGGATCACCAGCATCAGAACAAGCTCAACAACGATCACGAACAACGCCTCCTCGAACTCCGTCTTCTAGGGGTGGCCATGCATCGCCCTACGTCCGAGTTTCGTTGAAAGGCTTCCTGAGCTTCGTCCAGGTAGGTCCTTCCGCGTGTATCCAAGGCAATAAAAACCATAGAGACAGTGAAAAACTGTGTTGGGGTGTGCGTGCTGCTTAATGACAGCATCTTCCATGTCAGCAACAAGATGGCTAGTGCGTAATACAAGAGATGAACGTTGTCAGATCTACGGGTATTGGGAAGTAGTATGTCGACGCTAGTGCGGGTGACGCTAGTGATTTCCTCTCAACTGCCTATGGCTATTTCATCCAATCAGAAAGCTGTTCGATTATCGTTGAGTCGCCCAAGAAATCCATATGGCCAAGATGCACAATACCCACCATAATAAAAAAAGATCAAAAGTGGGCCGAAACAAATGCGCACTTTTTCTATAAAAAGTATTGTGGGTTCTACTCAAAATTGGACAGGACGGTTTGTTGACCAAACCGCATCTAAATCGGCCTCCCCACTCAATAGCATAAATATATTTATTTCGTAGTGGTTTCCGAGGTCTGAATGCCATCCCGGCCAATCAGCAAGCAAGAAGCAGAACTTTTATCAAAAAACAATAATGGACCTTATTTATTTTCCTCACACATGTTTTGACAGTTTGACAGCATACACTACTTTGATAATACCGGTATATTCGAGAGAATACCGACTTTTTTTAACATTAATGTTGCTTTTTAAAAAAAGCTTTTTTGTAAAGGAAAAAATGCCACTTTTCATCTTTTTTTTATTAAGGTGGCCACAAAAACTTTTTACTGCAAAAAAACTACTTTGTATTGTTTTGCAATTTAAATACATTACTTTTGCAAAAAAAGGACTTTGTCAGTCATTAATTCAAAAAATATTATTTAGTAGTGTAGACGAACCTGACTACTATTTTTTTCTTAACTTGAAGAAAAAAAAGTACTTTGTATCGAAAAAGTGTACATAGCTCATGGCTCACTTTTTTTTTTAAGTAAGGTGGGCCAAAAAAGAACTTTTTCCTGGAAGAGTGTTTCCAGAAATTTTTTCAGGAATTATCCGATGAAAGTGCTCGTTTGGTTCCGGCGCGACCTGCGCCTACATGACAATGTGGCGCTGCATGCGGCACTGCAGCTTATTAAGCGGCAACAGAGGCAGAGTGGCGCGGCTAAAGTGGAGCTCATCCCACTCTACATCATCCACCGACCGCAGATCATGCGCTGCGGAGCAAACCGCTTCCAGTTTGTGCTCGAGAGCGTCGCAGATTTGTCCAACGCGTTGGTAGAGCGTGGCTCGAAGCTCGTGGTCGCAAAGGGTGATGGTATCCAAGTGCTTCGGCGTCTCCTGCCAGCATGGGGCATCACACATTTGTTCTTCGACGGGGTTTGTGAGCCTTACGCAGTCGAGCGAGACAATCGGGCTCTTGAATTGGCCAAGGGTCTGGGAGTGCAGACTCACGTAACTAAAGGATATAATCTCTACGATTTAGAGGCGGTGATTGTCGGTCATTCAGGCAAGGCACCTAAAACGTACCAAGGATTCCTAAAAGCAGTGGGGATACAGCCAACACCTCGCGAGCCACTTCCAGCACCTAATAGCCTTCCTGCCTCCACGAGTAAGCACAGTGAGTTATACCAACAGGTTGTAGAGTATTGGAAAGATCGCGTTAAACTGGACCACGAAGAAAACGATGACGATACAGAAGAAAAAGCCAACCAGATCGACCAGATTGCAGGACCAAGCCATGACTTCACGCTTCCTGATCTAACTTACTTCGGGTTTGAAACACCGACGAAGCATTCGTTTATCTACCGTGGGGAGCAAAAGGCACTGGAAATGCTAAAGAATTATTGTAGTGATGAAGACCGTGTGGCCCTGTTCGAGAAACCCAAAACGTCCCCTGCGCAGATACCACCAACTCCCTCAACTACGGTGTTGAGTCCATACATGTTCTACGGATGCCTCAGCCCGCGGACTTTTTACCATCAAGTGCGATCTATCCAGAAACGGTGTAAGAAATCGTCAGTTCCGCCGGTGAGCTTGATCGGGCAGCTTTTATGGCGTGAGTTCTACCATTGCCACGGTCGCGCCAATCCTTATTTTGACAAGATGGAGGAGAGCCCTACATGTCTACAGGTCAATTGGCGGTACCGCACGATTCCAGAGGATGAAGAGGACATGACTGACGACGATAAGCACGCTCGTTCACAGTTTGAGGCATGGAGAGATGGACGGACTGGGTTTCCATGGATCGATGCCATCATGATCCAGTTAAAGGAAGAAGGCTGGATGCATCACTTGGCGCGTCACTCTGTGGCGTGTTTCCTGACACGAGGTGATCTTTATATCTCATGGGTACGAGGGCTCGAAGTTTTCCAAGAGCGGTTGATCGATCACGACTGGAGTCTTAACGCTGGTAATTGGCTCTGGCTTAGTAGCAGCTATTTCTTCACGGCTTACTATCGCGTGTACTCCCCGATCTCCTTCGGTAAAAAGTCGGATCCCGAAGGCCTCTTCATCAAGAAGTACATTCCAATGCTGAAAAACTTCCCTGCCAAGTATATTTACGAACCGTGGAAGGCTCCACTAACTCTCCAGCATGCTGCAGGATGCCGCATCGGCAAGGACTATCCGACCCCAATTGTTGAGCACAAAACTGCGATGAAAGAATGTGTGGAAGGCATCAAGATGTCGTATGCCAACGGACAGTACGGTATCCCGCCGACAAACAAGATCGCCCGTCCAAGCAAGAAGCGCCAACGTGAGGACTCGGATGAGGAAACGAAGCAGTAGATGGTACGATTCCAGAATGGTGAGCCAAAGAAAAAATACCTTTCAATGCTGCTGCTCGAGTCAATTATTCATTTTTTGATTCATGGAATGGGGAATCTTCTAGCACTCGACGCAATTCTAGGACGGCTTGAAGCAGATCGACGCGCCCGTTAAGGATGGACTTGACCAGGAGCTGCTGACCGGTGAGCATTCTCTTGAACACCTTGTTATTGTGTTCTGCACGCTGTCGTGCCTGTAGTTGAGTCATGACAATGGCTTTCCACTTTGATGCTGAAGCACAATTACTGGCAGGGGTTACGAGTCTTGATTCGGCCAGACGCAAACGTGTCAGCTCGACACCTAGTATGATTACTTGGCGGCGTAAGCGGTCAGCTCGATACTTGTATTTGCTTTGGTGCGGAGAACGAGGTGCTGGAGTAGGTGGAACTGCTTCCTGCCACTTATCGTCAGCACAACCTTCTAGTGGACCTTTAGTCGAAACGACACTGGAAATGCTTGAGCAGTTCGTTTTAGCGACAATACTCTGAAGCGGGGAAGTGTTCGGGAGACATGCCAGCTCTTCCCCCTCTCCAAATCGGAATTGCATATGTCGTTGATGTTGCCTTGGGCTGGAGAAAACGAAAATAGGATATCAATGTGCATGCTCTGAGTTATTGCAAACATCAACGTGGTACCATACATGGCCAACAGAAAAAAAACATCCAAACTTCAGCCTTTCGTAATCAATTTACATGTACAAGTATTCGTAAAAAGTGTAACGAACCCCATATAGCTACAATCAAACCACACATATTGACGTACTTAACGTTGTTACTTACAATATCCCGTGTAACAGTGCAAGCTGTACTAGAAGTCTGTTTCGTGGAAGGTGTTCTCTTGGTGTAGCCAACACGTCGCTGGTCATTTGCAGCTGAAAATATTGCTCCGCTACAAATTAAATCTCGTCGTACATGTATTGCAATATGGTAATGGATTTTGAATCTCATCGTACGGGTAACAGCCCGCACTTTTTGGCTACTTTACACAGCAAGCCTAACGATAGCGTATCCTTGTCTTATATATTATATATAAAGACCAGGACAAAACGGGGTGGCGATGACCCGGGCCACCACAAACTTCCCC